TTCCCCTTGTGAGTTTCCTGAAGCCACTCATTCAAAATAGGAAGGCCCCTTAGCTGCACAAATCTCCCGAGGCAATCAGGACTTTCTGTAGCTGAAATAATATGTGCAAGCGCTACTCGACCACCAAGGTCTATCTTCCGTTCAGTTCGATCAACTTGCATGAACTGGACTAGCTTCTCGACTGCTTCAGCGTGAGGAAGCCCACCTTTGTCTGTGAACTTCGCGATAAATTTTGCAAATGCATGCTTCATATTTTCTGCCTTTAAGTTCCCCAGTTCACCTTCTTCGACCTTAAGGGGACGATCACGGTCTCGCGTAGCTGGATCAATTCCTTGCTCAACTCTCTCCCTCTTCTTTCCTTTAGATAAAATACAATTTTGTCCATCATCCAAACCGGACTTCTGCTGGGCAGATGACGGACTATTTAGCCGCTTCGGTGAGCGTCCACCTGACTGTACTGCAGCATGCATTTCTAACCTTGTTCTATGCAGAAGTCGATTTACTTCTTCCTGCCGTTCCTGATTGTAAGACGCACACATAAGCCACAGAATATACAACACAGAAAAAAGAGGAAGGTAACTATAGCACTTACATTAATATAGTCTTTGTCGGTAAGCCACCATAAACACTTGTTGTCAATATCATATACACGCCGACACACAAATGAAGAAATTCCGGCTGGCAGCTCAACACCTTTGCGTAAAAAGGCAACTTTGCAAGGATGTAGTAGAGAGACGGCAGATGTCTCGTCCTGGTGGAATGAATAGAAGATCTCGTTTGGTGCAGCGATGAGCTGTATTGCCTTGTTAAGTTTGACGTCAGCAGATCTATAGAGCCAACTTACACGTAACTTGGGAAAGCCTTCTTCTTTTTTCTCAATCCAGCGTATCAACCCAATGAAAGGAGGAACATCAACAGCCTGAAAAAGTGCACAATCTCCAACTCGAAATTCACGCCCGTCCTGTAAAGCAAATTTGTACTTTTGTTAATTGTCAAGAAACATAAACATCTTCATGTCACGAGGATAACGCTGAAGGAGAAAGTGTAATGCTCGGAGAACACGTCAAAGCAAGAAGCACAGTTAAGCATAACTGAACCAAAAATAGAAAGAAAAAATTAACTCTCCATGCAGCAGCCAAACAGCTAAAAAGTACTCCCTCTGTCCCATAATGTAAGACGTTTTTCGACTCTAATGTAGTGTCAAAAAACGTCTTACATTATGGGACGGATAGAGTCGAAAAACGTCTTACATTATGGGACGGAGGGAGTACTAAATAAGTAGTTGATTATCTAAACGTGTCGGGTTGCAAAGGTAGCAAACATTAGTGTAACAACATATATTTCCTTAAGCTGCCAAAGGCGGAAAAAACGTTCCAGAAATATTAATGCCAAATATGTTCTTATAAGGAGATACTCTGACTCAACAAATTAATGCACGTCAAGCATGTAATAAAACATTCATAATCAAATTGCAATGGCTTCCAGAAATGGATGATACCTAACCGTAGAGCACAAAAACTGAAATTTCCATGATGAATTTTAGGCAATGTACAATGCTCACAACCAAGTCTGAGGTTTGTTTTCTTCATTTCTCCTATTTTCCTTGTTTAAAAGGAAGATAATTCCTTATTGCCACCTTGTATTAGATTAGCAAACAAAAAAAAGCAACCAGCATATAGAAACAGTTGGCAAAATACGTTATCTTAATGAAAGTCGTGAACACGACACGACTTGCACCCGTAAACACCTTCAAATGGTATAGCTTCACTATCCAATACACCAACGATACACTCCGAACAATTCTTATCATGCAAGTAACAAGGCGACATCTTTGACACGCTTTTACATGTGGAGTGCCAGAATTCTCACAATGAGGTACCAAAATCCAACCATACAAAACAACCCTCATTGCACCATTTAGAAGATAGCCTGGCCATTACCAAACCAAGCGCACAACCAGCCCGGCACAGATGATGTATATGTAAACTCATCAAGGAGCTTCACAGCAACGCGAGACTACGGTAACCTCTCAACCAGGCAACAAATTCTAGTTACTTTCCATAGATTAAGTTTTCGAAGCAGAAATGATGGCCATCGGATGATGACTTGAGCAGCAAACTGAATTTGGTCTAAAATCTGGCTGAGCTTAGCAAATCCCAAAGTGGTATATCCACCAAAGTATGAGGCACCTTTAGGAAGGAGTCTGCTGAGGGCGGACGGGGTGAATCGGCGGCCTCCTGCTTGTGGGGTGCCGCCGGGGGAGTCGTCGGTGCGGGTGGATAAGAGGTCGTCCGGAGCGGTGGAAGAGACGAGCGGGGAGGAGGAGGAGGAGGGGAGGCTGGTCCCTTTGCCGGTGGTGGAGCTGCCTCTACGCGAGTTGCCGGCCACATGTGCCGGACGAAAGGACGCCGGTCGCCGCACCCCTCACCGCAGCCTTGGCGCCGCCCATGCATAGCCGCGCATCTTCCCAGCCGCCGATCCCTCCTGGCCGAGTCCTCCCGGCGCCGCGCTGCACCATCACCAGATCACCGCTGCCGCAGGCGCCGGCGGTAACCCTAGCTCGGATCCGCGGGGCCTCCCTCCATGCGCCTCCGGATCACCCGAATTCGGCCGATTCCGACGCAGCGCCTGCCCGGGGCCCGCGGATCGGGGCTCGAATTCGATCGGAATCGGCTCCGGCCGCGGGGAGATTTGATCGGGAATTCGGGGATTCGGGGGCGTCCGGTCCGGGAGCGGGCGGGCCGGTCTCGATCTGCGGCGGGGCGGTGGCGACGGTGGCGAAGGGGGGAGAGAGAGAGAGAAGGAAATGGCGATTTGGGGGCGGATTTGGAGGAGAGAGATGGTTATATGGAGCACGGCACGGAGAGACGGAGATGAGGAAGAAAGAGAAAGAGGAGAGCGGATGCGGGGGGAGAGAGAGAGGAAAGAGGCAGGGGCATTTCGGGCATTTCCCCCCGCCCGCCCGCGCACGAAGATCCCCTGCGCAGCGCGGGGCGCCGCGCGAGGCCTGCGCTGCTGCTACGTGCGGTCGCGCTCCGCCCGGCGGGTGTCGCTGCGCGGTGGGGCACTGTTGACTCGCGGTGGGCGGGGGCGGGGTGGCCGTAGCGGTTCCCGCGGGCGCTGACGTGTCTGTGGTGGGTGGACTCGGGCAAGTGGTCCGGCCCGCGCGCGCCTGGCTCGAGGTCGCTGGTGTGCCACTGACGTCCGGATCCGGACGGGGCGGGCCCGGGCGGTGATGGGGTGGGTGGGTGGGGGTTCGGGTGCCGCGGGGCTGCGACGCGCCGTGCAAGGCGGGGCGGGGGAGGACGGCACGGCAACGGCCACAGGCGCGCCACGAGCGCCTGTCGCTGGCGTGTGGGGTGCCCGCTGGCTGGTGGCGATCCTCGTCGGTCCCACCCGTGTTTTTTTTTCCTTTGACATGGACGCCCGTGGGTTTCTGACTGAAAGTGGAGGGAGGGCCGGGGTGAAACGGACTCGGGCACGTGGACGTCCGTGTTGTTTCTCCAGGAGTGGAAATGGGCCGGGCCCTCCGCGGTTGCCGGATTGGTGTCGGCGCCTCTGCCGGGCTCGTGCCGCCGTGTTTGCTCGCGTTCGTGTACCAGGGGGATGGGTAAGTTCCGTGCTGTCTTCTAGTGAGCCTTCTCCCTCGTATCCGGCGAGCTCCACCGCCAATGAAGCGGATGCAGCGTCGATGCGCTTTTTTCTCGAAGGAAATAGGGTATTTTATTCCAAGATCACAGAGTCACAATCCTTAGCAACGAGTTCGGAAATAAAAGGGTCCAATTTAAAACAATGCATCAGATATTTCTTCATCGGAGAAAGGAGTATTCAACCTATCATTTATAGCCGCCGTCACCTTTGGAATAATAAGTTCTAACACACTGTCAGCTGACAAAGTAGGATCCTTTGTAAAAAAATCCGGGAAATACGATTGCGCATCCTCTTCATCTCAGATGGCACGTTGCGCCAGGATCCATCGACCTTTTGCAACCGTCTGATGATATTCTTACGGGTGCGCCATACGACTTGCTTATGAAAATATTGTGTGTTGTGATCGCCCTCTTTTAGCCACATAATCCTACTTCTCTGCGACCACATCATCTCCTCTCTGTACAAAAGCTCATCAAGCCTCTCCATCTTTTGACGAATGAGGAGGCGATCACTACTTTTTTGCTGAAGGGAATCTAGTTCCTGCCGTAATGCCAAAATTTCTTTTTCGACATGGTCAAACTGTTATTTACTCCACTTCCGAAGATCTGACATAACCGATTTCAAAGAATCGACAATGTTTCCTAGGTCTCCAGACGAGCGAGACCGTTCCCAAGCACTAGTTATAATCGCCGAAATACATGGGTCTCGCTCCCACATTATCTCATACCATGAATAGCTCTTACGTCACCGCTCCTCGGACTCATCAACATGTAACGTAAGTGGGCAATGATCCGGGCATGGCAACACAAGATGTTGCAACCAAGCAAAGGGGAAGAGCTCCTTCCAAGACTCGTCACCGCATGCATGGTCCAGCCGTACCCGGACATTGCTCTGGCCATGGTGGCCATTATCATAAGTAAAGGGTGCACCAGAGAATCCTAAGTCAACCAATTCACAATCAATAAGAACATCCCGAGACGCCTCCATCTTACTTTCCCCTCTCAAGGACCTTGGAAAATGTTCATGTTGCCATATAGCTTCACTAAAGTCACCACTTACCACCCAAGGCAGATCTGAGCCGCCCTTGAGTCTTGATAGGTGCTTCCACATGATATAACGGTTCTCTACACGTGGTTCTCCATACACAAAAGTACATCTCCATGATTTTGTCCGAGCCTTGATCAAACACATTAATATCAATGTAGCGTTTACATGCATCCATTACTGTCACCTGGAGCGTATCATCCCAAAACAAAGCCAGGCCCCCTCCACGGCCATCACAGTCAACACCACAAAAACCTTTAAGACCTATTCTCCACTTCAATCTCTCAACACTAGCAGAAGTTTGTCTAGTTTCTGATAAAAAACAAACTTTGGGGAACTGGCTTTTACAAGAGCCACAACTTCGCGAAATGTCGGCAGTTCCATACTAGTTGATTCATTGATCCCGGCGGTGCTCCGGATCGGAGCCCGCCAATATGCTGTGTGAATTTTCTCTATCCTCGACAACCTTTGCCTTCTTACTATTCTGGCTACCCGTGGGTGATGTTGGATCAGTCATCCCATCAACAGTACCATATGTGATCATCAGGGTGGGCGCAGAACGCTTTGACATTTGTACAACAACCACTAGACCCTCCGGATCAGCATCAATAGCAAGCCTCGTATGAGCTAACTTTTCACGTTTAGACATAACAATGTCTTTTGGCTTTGCAAGACTTGTATCCATGTCCTCAAGATCCCCATCTTCCTGTTCATTCTGCGTCCTTCTCGGCGTGAATGCCGCAGCCGATGTAGTGCAACCAGCATCAAAACTCAAACGATTCCCAGGTGCTGGATCGGCATAGAGCCAATCGCCAAACTTGAGATCTTTAGGCGGGTGTACTCCATTGCCACACTCTTTATACTCATGCCCAACACGTCCACAAAATTTACAAAAACATGCCAATTTCTCATATCGAACAGTGAAAACCTGCCGTTCCTTACCATGAATTATACTCACAAACTTTGTCAATGGTACTTTGGCATCATGTCAAACACACACTTGCATGTAATCACCACGAGAATTTCCGTTGAGCCTTAACTCCAGTACCTTGCCTGCATTCTTTATCGACTTTTCCACTATCTCCTTCTTGCAGTAGCCATCTGGGAGTTTATGGATTTGGAGCCATATAGGCATGTAAACTATCTCAATTTCATCATCTTTCATAAAATCATCATAGGGAGTAAGGAGCACTGCCCAGTTCCTGAAAATCCATGGCCCTCTCTCCATGATACGCTCCCAATCGCCAAGACACGATGCTTGCACCACAAACAGGTTCGGGCCAACTGGCCGAAAGCGCACCTTCTCTGTAGGGTTCCATGCCGCACGCATATCTTTGAAGAAGGCGGTCTGATTGAAATTCTTGTCGGTATGAACCCTCGCTAGTGCCAGCCAACGCACACTCTTGTTCAGAACCGTATCATCAGCATCAACTTCCAGATCATCAAACTCCTCTCCATCCAGATCAAGCTGGTCGAAGAAATCCCCAAGATCATCTGCGACATCAACCCTAGTTCCGACACTTGTAGGAGACTGTTCGTCAGGATGTGATGCCATGGGGCTAGGGTTAGGGAAAGGAGGAACGGTGTTACCCGATGGGGACGTGGGGATGGAGAACGCCAGAGCAATCAAAACACGATGGAACTCCCAGGAATGATCACGATCGCCTGGGAGGAAAATAACCCTAGCCAGGGCTTAGGGGACGTGTTAATGTGCTCTTGTTTACCGGCCACCATCGGCTCCGAAGGACGGTAAGTAGTTTGTAGGTTTTACCGTAGGAGCAGAATTGTCACAAAAAGTAACATGAGAGATGTAAAATGCCACGTTAGTGCATCTCCAACGTTGACCCATAAATTTGCTCTGACATCTGTGTGGACAGGGGAATCAGTCCACAGACATGATGCCAGAGTCCGCTATCCAATGTTGGCCGCATTGCTTTTCAATAACTTTTTGAACCAACCGAATGAAATTCGTGCAAACATGGCGGATTTTGTACAAAGAGGAAGAAAACATTTACATTTTCGACATATTTTAACTGAAAAGGTAAAACTATATGCACGTATGATCACACAAAGCTCCATTCGCATGACATCGGTACACTAGTCCACATCCGACCACGGCGGATCTCTTTGTCTCCCCCGTGTCCAGCAACCCGCTCATTGGACTGCCTAGAGCCTCAGAAGTATATCCTTCCCCCGTATCTTCCCTATGGTCGGTTGCATCGCTCATCAGAGTGACAAAGGGGGTGCTTCAGCCAGAGGGGAAGGGTGCCTACATTGCTTCCGTGAAGCTGAGGCGGGGCTCGACGAGCCCTGGAGGTATATTCTTCCCCAATATCTTCCCTATGTTCGGCTGCGCCGCTCATCGGAGTGGCAAAGGGGGTGCTAAAAACTAGAGGGGAAGGGTGCCTACTCCACTTCCATGAAGCGGAGGCGGGGGTCCATGAACCCCAATGGTATACTCTTTCCCCATTGATGGAGTCCTGGATTAGGGGGTCTTCAGCCTGCCGGCCTATCCCCTATGAGGTCGGACTGTTGGGCCATGTTATCAATACTAGGAGGCCAAGCTATGTAGAGACCCCGTATCTGGACAGGAGGCTTGTTGGTGCCTTGGTGTGTCCTCCAAGTCAAGATAAGAAGAAGAAGCATGTTTATCCTTTCCTTGTAACCCACCATGTGTAGCCCTAGTACCCCTGGTGTCTATATAAACCAGATGGTCTAGTCTGTAGAGAGGAGAACAACCATCATCCTACTAGTCTAGGGTATAGTTCATCTGATCTCGTGGTAGATCGACTCTGTAATCCTCACATACACAAGCAATATAATCAAGAAGGACGTAGGGTTTTACCTCTTAGATAGGGCCCGAACCTGGATAAACATCATGTCCCTAGTCCCTTGTTCCCCATCGATCCAAGATCCATAGCTCGGGACCCCCTACCCGAGGCCCGCCGGTTTTGACACCGACACCCGTAGCTTCCCTATGTTCGGATGCGCCACTCATCAGAGTGGCAAAAAGGGTGCTTCAGCCGAAGGGGAAGGGTGCCTACTGATACGTCTCCAACGTATCTATAATTTTTGATTGTTCCATGTTGTTATATTATCAATCTTGGATGTTTTATAATCATTTTATATCATTTTTTGGTACTAACATATTGACATAGTGCCAAGTGCCAGTTCCTGTTTTTTCTGTGTTTTTCACATCGTAGAAAATCAATATCAGACAGAGTCCAAATGCCATGAAACTTTACGGAGATATTTTATGGACCAGAAGGAACATGTTGGGCCCTAGTAGCACCTAGGGGGAGTCCCGAGGAGGGGACAACCCACCAAGGCGCGCTAGGAGGCCCAGGCGCGCCCTGGTGGGTTG